GAAAAAAAACAATAAAATTAGATTCAAATTTCAAAATATACAATAATATCAACAAAAAAAATTTTTGTTGAAAAAAAAAAACAAAAATAAATATAAGAGAAAATTCATACTATTTCTTTTTGAAAACTTCATTTATATACTAAAAGAATAGAATTCAATCAATCAATTCTTAAAACTTAATCTACGTAAAATATCTTAAATGTTTCCAGTTAAAAAGTTCCATAAATCTTTTAAGATTCTGCTATTTTGGAACTATCAATTTAATCAAATAATTTAGATAAAAACTGCAAATAATTCAGTTACTATTATCGTTGGTAACAATTATTTGGAAATTCTTAATACGAATTTCTTATACATATAAATTCATCTCTTGTGGCAAATTAAACCTTTCATAAAACCAGAAATATACACTTCCATCAGCAGGTCAGGTCATAAAGGTATTGAAAATACTTCAAATATATGATTGTCTTAGATGAAACATAATTTAAATTTATTTCCTGTTAAAAGGAAGTATATTCAAAATTAAATTTTAAAAGAATTGCTTGAGACCAAAAAACTAAATCAACAATAAAAAACATTAAATTCCCCAATTCCGATTTATTACCAAAGTGATCATTTAATTTATAGAAAACTTTATACTGTAGTAAACAACTAATAAGATGCAAACCATTTAACAATATAACATTATTTTATTTGTCAAAAAATGAGTGGTGAAGATAGTTAACTATGTTTCCATAACAGATGTTTGATAGGCTTTAGTCCTAACAATAATTAGTAAAAACGTGCACAGCTAGCTAGGCAACCCGCTTAAGATTAAATCCTATCATGAACACTACAAAAAGAATTTAATTAAAAAATAACGATTTATTCAATGATGAGCATTAAAGATGTACAACTTATCCTTATACTAATGAAAAATGTATTAAAAAATTCGATGCAGTCCATAAGCGATATAATAGTTGTGTAATATATATTTGGATGATAAATTTAACAACTTGCTAAAATGACGCAGTTCACCATTTAAATTAATTTTGACATGATCCAGTAATTCTAATGATCGTACTCTGAGAAAAATTATTTATGTTCGAATTCCTCAATTCCATTCATAAGAAATAAAACGAAGGCATTAAAGAACATGAGAGATGCCGGCAAATGATCAGATAATAGGAATATCACGGTAATATTAAAATAAATATTAATAATAATCCGAAATGAACCAAACATAAATCAGAATCAATATTATTAATGCCATTGCAAAGGCCATTCTCTAATTAATATTCGCTACATGTCATAAATCATGATAAGCCAGCCCGAAATGATCGCTGGATATAAAACGTTTGTGTACACAGTTAATATTCAAATTGCTTTCATTTTATGAGTAGTTTAGGACTTAGTTACAGTAGTTTGATTGAGTATATATCCACAATATTAAACAAGAAACATATCCGAGGGATATTAATAGCTAACACCGTTACTCGAAGTTTTGGTTCATTTGAATTTAAATTAGTATTCCATAGTTGAAACTAACATGACAACGGATAAAATAAATTCTATTCGAAATAAAACTTTGCACCTATGAATAGTTAAAGCATAACGATAATGAAAGTTATTATTTATGTTTGAATTAGATTAGAATTTATTTTTCACTCACTTATTTGTATACTATTAAGTAGGGAATTATGGATATATAACCAATTTTATTACTTTAAATAACATTCGAAATATATTAATGACATTGCGTCAATTATTCAATTTATTTTAAGTATAATTATTACATTAATTTCTTGAGGAAATGAATGCCCATATATAAATACATATATAACACGCATCGGTGCGTGCTCGCTTGCGAATGACTGTTATCCCGAGATAAAACGGGGCCGTTGGCGTGCGCCCGAAATTACACCTCAATTGCGGACTCCACCTCAGGCGGAGCAATGTGTTATTGGAACGGAATATCGGGCAAGTAACGAGCGGGCTAGCAACCACTTCCTTGTTCGTGGGAAGTCTGAGGGTAATGTCTTTAGGAAGTCTAATTCGTGCCGAAGTGGAGGATTGGCGAGGAAACGCAGGCCTCCTTGTTCCGAGTTGGCAGGTGTCAGAAGGGTGGTTAGCATCCTGAAGTGGTTTGCAGGAAGTAATAATTGGCAATAATTATTTAGTAAATAAATTTGTGATGATAGATACTTTCTAATTTTATAGATATTTAGACGACGGGTTCGTAAGTCGCTAATTTGTTTTTCCTTTCAACAATTTGTTTTTCAGAAATGGCCCATATTTTTTCAAAATTTATGTTTCAAAATTTGAAACGTCTATTCTCAGTCAAAACCTACATCATATACACTATATTGCTGTATATTACTGGTTTCAGTGCAAACGGTTGTAAGTAAAAATTGAATTTTTCTACAGAAGAGCATACAAATCTATCACTTTTTTATGATTTGTAAATATAATTTCATATTTTTTTTCTCTGCTATTTTCCTATAGCAGACTACTAATAGGAGTTGCAGACTACAAAATGATACCTTCAGCGTAAAGAGAATTAACATGTAAAATTGTTAGATACGACCTTTTGCACAGTAGCGTTATATTAATTTAATTTTAATTAATTAATATTCATGTAAGTGCATTGAATATGTTCTTGTCATCGTGCTTTATGCGGTAAGCTGCTCTACAAATATTTTATCTCGTTACTTTTTCTACACCATAGAAGCAATCTGTCTTTAGTGAGAGGAATTGCCAACAAAAATATTGAAGATAAATTAAGTTAAATCATAAGCAAAATAAACAAATAAAATAACCTTGTCAACAGCTTGGATATTTGAAGCTTCATAAAATTTCATGTCATTTATCTGCCAACAATCCTTAGAAAAGATATTATTTGAAAAAAATAAATGCTAACGAAAATGAAATGAGAATATTAGGAATAGAAGAACGAAATAAGACGTATTTCAGACGAATAACGTAATAAATAATCAACATCATATCATACACGGTAACGTTAGAAAATATAATGGTTTTATACTATAATTAAAACGAAATAAGATAATCAAATTGAAAAAATACATTACTAAATGCTCAGTAAAAAAGTTAATTATTAAAAATCGAACTGAATGATAACTGAATGATAAGTGGATGATAAGATATTATTTCTAGAAACTTTTATTGTCTTCTAATTTTTCCCCTGGCTCTACATCCTTGTAGATCATGGCTGCCTGATCCATCGTTTACCACCTATCCATAAATTTAAATAAATAAAATAAAAATAAATAAATGCGGGATAGCAGCATCTTTGTTCATTTTATCTACACATCTGATTTTTTGTTTCCCAGGTGTTCTCATGCCAACTATTACAGAATGCTTAGAGACGAATGTCTCCTCTCCCATCTTAAATTCCTTATGGTAATGAATATATAACATAAATTTAACCAACAAATGTGTTGTCACCAAAATTGTTTGTTTCTAGGACCAAACTAGTTTTTAGACTATTTTTTTATTAATTATTAATAAATGCACAAATATTCAAAGTAAAGTAATAGATAAAAGTAATGAATTTATCGTAGCTAATTAAATTTTTAATTTTAAAATTAAATTATAATTGAAATTATAAATTATAACTGACATTCTGACATTCCAAAACTCCTTTGTTGGCCGCTCTGTCAATTTCTAGAATTCTCTCTCAATCAAAATTCGGCATGCTCCCTCCCTATTCACATTCAAAGATCTCCTATTCCAATTCTTGTTCCAAAAACAGTCAGATACCTGCTAAATATTAACAATATACATGTATTTCATATCAATCATGTGATAATACCGTTCTTTGTTAGGGATACTAGAGGTATTTCCTACTTTCGACGCCACTCAATATATCTATGTTTTTAAAATATCTTTTTTATTTAATTATCACTTATCTTTTTTATTATATACAATTAAACGCCTAGAGGTATCTTCCATAACAGATGATCATGCACTTCTTACGATGTATTTACATATTATCCAGTAGTTACATAATTAAGTTTATATTGACAGATGTAGCTTTCATTTATCTAAGTAAAAACATAGAGCTTTTTTATGAAAAGAATTTAATTTATTTTGTCTCTTTTTCTTTCTTCATTTCTTGAAGTATTTATTTATGCTGTTGAACCATTATATATAGTTTTAAGTATTTTTATCATAGTTTTAAGTGTTTGTTCACAGTTGTATGTATTCTGTTTATAGTTTTAACAGTTTTGTACATAGTATTATCCGTTCTATACATAGATTGTTCACTTCAGGTTTTCTTTATTTTTTTTATTTGTTTTTTAAATTTAATTTATTGTTTATAGAGTGCTACCATTGGGTAGTTACTCAGCAAGTGTATTCATGTCATTATATCAATTATGTCCAAATTTACTTGATGTATTTATGTAATACAGTTGTAAATGTCATAAAGAAATAAAAAAAAAAAAAAAAAATTATTGTTCCATTTAATTAAAGTTAGGCCAGAAGTAGTCTTTTATTTTTTTTTTTTTGTATAATTTTGCTATTCTAAAGGGACTTGGTCTTAGAATAAAGTTGTTTTTCTATCTATTGATCTGTCTTTAATAAATTAAATTTATTTAAATTAAAATATTTTAATTAAAATATAACAGCCATTGAATTTTTATATTTATCCGAATAATCTTAGTTTAAATTAATTAAGATTAAATTGAATTCAATCCAAGAGTTTACGAATATAGATTTTAAAGAACCCCATCACTGAACATTAAAACACAATCTGTATGAATCATTTATGAATCATTAATTAAAAAATAAGTAATTATATTATGATATTTAATATTTCTTTGAATGTTACATCACAATAGGGCTGAAGAAAGGTATGGGAACGGACCTCACACAAAGCCTACAGCTTTACTGGATGTCCTTTATGGGGTACCTTCGGGAACTGAGAAATATTCCTCTGTGCACAGAGCGAGGACTGAAATCTACGGCTCCATGATAAAATATTCCCTCAAGCGGATAAGATGAATGAACTCTTTGGTGCAGAGGTAGTTCGAGCTGGATGTACAGTATGCCTCCCAGTTCCCCGTTCACCCTCCTCAGTCGCCTTCACTAAGGGAACCAACTTCAAAGAGGCTCGTTCCAGAGGTTATACGAATATTACTGAATTTCTTTCCGTGAACATTGTTAGTTCCTACCAGGATAGAGGCAAGCAATCGTAATATATTGTATAAAGCAGTTTCGATTTAATACATGAGCCTTTTAGTTGACAGAATGACTAACTCCAACTTCAACATTTTTTATTATTAATTTTAGTGATATTTTTAGTGAGAATATATGTTCCTTTATTCATAGTTCTATATTGCAATACTAAAATCACCTAATCTGAAATTAACTTACTCATTGTCTTTATATATTATAAATTTTCCAACTTGATATATCACTAAAATGACTTTACTCAAAAATGTTGAACTTCGAGTTAATCAACTGAAAAGCTCATATACTACTTATGTTCTATTAGCTCCTTAATTTATTATTTTCACTGCTATAACAAATTTTATTTTTGAGTTTAAAGTCGGAGTATTTATTTTTATTTAGAATTTTTTCATATATAAAGTCTTCCTCAGCCTTCGTAAGATTCGCTTAAGTCTCTTTCTCCATTGCTCACTGTCAATGGCTTTCCATTTCCGCTATTCGCGTTCGGAAATACTTTCATCTATTTAACTTTTCCATTATATTCAAGTTTTTCCTTCCTTTCTTTTACCTTTGGCCATCATTCCATTTCCAATTTCAGTGATTGACCTCTATTGCGTTTTAAGGCACCATACCATCTTTATCTTTCTTTGATCACCTCTGAGATGGTTTCTTTTTAGTACAATTTTTTTTTCTGTTTTCGTTGTTCCTTGAATCTCTGGCAGGTTTCCACAGGAAAGCCATCTCCAGATATAAAAGCGTTTGCCTTCCCCTGTACAATGTCAAGGGTCTAAGTCTCGGAATCATACATTATAACTTCGACCAGTACGATGTATGTGTATGTATATGTATATATATATATATATATATATATATATATATATATATATACAGATAGATAGATAAATACGGAGATACCTTAGTAAACCTTTGTACTGTTGCTAATTCTGTTATTGTACCTTTCGTGGTGTTGTGTTCTTCATTCGCTCAAGATTATTCTTTTTATTTATACATGTACTTTTTTTTATTAATGCTTAAGCCCTGTTTTTAGCTTAGTCCCACTATTTTTAAAGGATATAGCTAGGGTCGTCTTCATCTTGTGAGATGATCACTTTCAAATAATTAAAGGTAAAAGATACATTTATCTGTCCAACTATTCAAGCTTGATAAAATATTTTCACTATCATGACGATCATAGATCTGTTAAACATATTTATTCCTTACTATTTTGTTCCCTCTAAATATCATAATCTTGAAAATGAGAAAAAGTCTAATAAGAGAGTGTTTAGATTTTATTCAACCTTCAAAGCCCAAAACAAAAACAAGTGGAACGGAAATGAATAGACGACTTCGCTGCGCGGCTACTTTGATCTGAATTGCTCGCTCCTGATCGAGCTGCCACGTCTTCTGTGTCGGTCACGGCTTTTGTTTCTTGCCTCGCTTCCGGTACCTTCAGTCTGGCGTGCCGTCACGAAACCGAATGCCCCATAGTCACCCTTTGGGTTACAGATGAATAAATTCGAAATAAGATAGGAAGAAATCTGGAAGTTTAGTAATTGCGGAAGATGAAGGGAAAACAGAAAATCTAATAAATCCCAAATAAAGACAATTTGTGTCTAAAATCGTGCGTTATTTTGAAAAATAGTACCTAGTTCTGCCATAAATATTATTACAAAATTGAATTTAGTTTACATCCTTGGGTAGTATTTAGAGAATCCTTATCTCTAACAGGTTATTTTCTTTACATGTCAGGATAATAATTCCAATTAGTTTGTATTTTTCTTCCACTCAGTTAACATGGAGTGGGGTGAAAAAGAAAACTGAATAGCTGTGATCGCCTTACAAAAATTTGGAAAGGGTAGGTCAAAGATTTTAAACACTTTGAAACCTTTGGGTATCAGCCGCATGTTCGTGTACCTCACTATAAATAGATATAATGAGACCATATCTGTATGTGACAGACCTGGCCGTCCCCGCACCTCGAGAAAGGCAAATGTAGTGAGAGCAATGGATGCTGGAATCAGAAGAAATTCCATTAGAAAACAACAAATCATGTCTCGGGAAATGGGAATCTCTGTCAGATCAATGCCTCGCATAATAAAAAGTGACCTTAAGATGAGTGCATTTCGAAGAATGACAGGACAAAGGCCAACCACTTTCCTAAAAAAACAGAATGGATAGATGCAAAGTTCCCCTAGGCCGTTACAGCAATGGTCTTCATAGAAAGATTTTGTTTAGCGATGAGAAAATGTTTACAATTGAAGTAAAATACACACAGCTCTAAACAAGCCCAAGGAAGTCATTGGAAGAGTGGAAAGAGATCATCACCCTTCCTCAGTGATGGTTTGGTAGGGAGTTTGCTTTGATGACACCACAAAGCTCCGTTTTTGTGAAAAACGAGTTAAAACTATCAGGACGATATTTTCGAAAATGATACTCAGTTTACTGAAAGTCATTGGGTTTTTCAGTAGAATCCCGCTCCAATTCACAAGGCCAGGTCAACTCAGCAGTGGCTGCAAAAGAACATTCTAGAGTTCATCACTGCCTCGGATTGGCACTCAGGAAGCTCTGATCTCAACCCACTTGATTATCTGCTTTGGTCCGAATTGGAGATGCATGCCACAGATCAGACACAGATGACACCCTTACTTGGAAAACCTCAAACAATCTCTGGTCCGAGCAGTTGAACTCTTTTCTCAAGAAGTGCTGCTTGCTGCTAATGTTGAATGGCCAAGGAGAGTAAATGCCAAAAGAGGGACATTTTGAGTAATTTCTTTTTTGTTTTACTCTCTATAGATATACATTTTATTTTCTAATTTCTAACTCTGAAAAAATTAATTTTTCTGTTGCAATCTGTATATATTTCCTTGTAACAATATTGATAAGAGGGCAATGTGTTTCGAAAGGAACTTTTATGTAAATTAAGCATTGTTTACAAGGTTGGCTAAGAGATTTAAAACCGAAAATAAACATGTCCAACCAGTGTTAAAAAAAAATCAGACGGAAAATTCAGTACCTATCAGTATCGGCCATTCAGCTCGATTTTTTCCCAACCACATGTGACACAGATACGCTATCGTACTCGTGCATGAATTATGGTCACCAAGATAAAGAAATTCGATCAACGAACGCTTCTAAAGGTTTTACAAGTGTTTACTTTGATAGGCGGAATTTTTCAAAAGAGTTGCATCATAAAAAAAAAATAAAATGACCTAAAATAAATCATGATTCAAAATTAGGAAAGTAAAATTGTATTAATCCGAAATAATAAGGTCAGGATAAGTGATATGAACAATAAATAGAAATTTATTAAAAACATTTATTGAAATAATTAGTATAAAATATAAATATGTACGTAAGTATTTATATGGGAATATAAATGTGTGCGATAAGAAAACTTATTTGCGCTTGTTTTTCGGTATCATTTTCAGAAGCATGATTTGAAAATTGACTTTAATTTCTATTGAACAAATGTGCTTCTATGCTGCGCAGAATCTTAAAATTTCTTTCGGTTATTTTTTTATTGTTAGCCTCAGTTTTGATTTGCCATCAACCTGACTTTTGTATTATCAGCGAAAAAAAGAAGAAGAAGAGAAATACTGATACAACCTATAGTAAGTAGCTTTCTTTTATAAGATTTTTACGTTTTTCTGGCCACAATTCATACAGAAACAGTTCAATGAATCAGCGTGGCATTTTCTTGGAAAACAAATTGTGCTATACTTCCTGTTTAGGGCTTAGACACCTTACAATTGAGTGTTTAACTAGAAACCCATGTAACAAAAAAAAAAAATTAAGAAATATGATAATTACTATGTTTCTATTCAATGAATCAATAACATGCGACAGTTATAAAAACATTTTTTTTTTACTAGAACTTTACTTCACAACTAGAGATGGTTCCAGTTCACAGTTCCAAAATGTCAAGTGTCCACGCAAAGAGAATCTCCAGAACCGAAACGTCTACACTGTCCAACGGTGCAAGTAGCCTAAGCCCGGAGAAACACAGGAACTCCCTATATTGTATCTCACTCACATCTTCATCGATCCTTATCGGTTCTTGCCTTCTCCCTCATAATAGCGTTTCGACTAAACGCAAATGTGTGCTGCCATGCCAATATCCCAAATGTGGATCATAAATAAGTACAGCACTACAATAATGACTAAGAAGCATTCGTTTAGTTCTAATCACATTTAGACGATCTCGAGATAGAGCCAGATGTCATATCTGGTTTTATTGAATATATATCAATCACAATTGATATATTTATATTCAAACCTTTAACGTATTTTATAACTATATACCACCTGAAAGAAGGAAGCGTGGAAGGCCAAAGAAGAAATGAATAAAGGAAGTGGAGGAAACCATGGCAGCCAGAGGGCTCCGTGAAGGAGATTGGATGGACAGGGAGCAATGGCTTTTGGGTGTTGGGTATATGACTCCTTAGGTTGTAGAAAAACCCAAATAAAAATAATGTCAATCACCTGTTGACAAAGATTTACTACGCAAAATTATAATAATTAGCTTTTGGCCCCAATACTCCAGATTCTTCGAAGCAGATGAACGTTATTTTTATAACCATAATAATATAAAGTAATATGTGGAAATAATCATCGGATCAATATTAACGGTAAATCTCCTTAAATATAACAGGATATTCATTAAAGACATTATTTACTTTTATAAAACACAACAATCAGGATTACTTTAAGGTTTAATTACAAAAATTATTGATTCATTTGCGTGGAGGGATAAATGTCCACCCACAGCCAGCACGAAGAGCAAACATTACATCAGGATAGATCAGAGAGCACTCAGCCGTCGCTGGCAGAGCGTGAATGACGTCGATATCTGTCAAACAGTTTTAGCGGGAAGGGGCGCCCCCTCCCTAGGAATTTGCATACCCTCGCACCTCCCCATCTCTGGGGATCTCAGCGTAATAACCGAGCCCGGCCTGTCTGCGCCGTTATAACTGCTATAAGCTAGGATCCTCCTAATCGTCACTGTAAGTGGCAAAGGTTTATGGTGGATAGCGCTTAGTTAACAGGGCGGTTGTCTGATTACTTTTGTCGTTGTGTCCAATACTAGGGGATTGGTCGGTTGTCTATAACAGTAAACACAGAGTATACGAGATAAAGATTATGTTATACGCTAATAAATAAATTAATAACAGTTAATTATTGGCAATAACTAATCATCAGGCCAGAATAGAAGCGCTTAGTTAATAGGGTGGTTGTCTGATTACTTTTGTCGTTGTGTCCAATCCTAGGGGTTTGGTCGGTTGTCTATAACTGTGAAAACAGAGTATACGAGATAAAGATTATGTTATACGCTAATAAATAAATTAATAACAGTTAATTATTGGCAATAACTAATCATCAGGCCAGAATAGAAGTAAAACATCTAAAATATGCCACTAAAAATCATAAAATATGAAATATTGAAGCGATAAACATATAGGCTATCATTAAAACGACAAAATCCTTTCGATTAAACCCAAATTAATTATTATATTAAAATTATAACATGATAAAGGAAAATAAGCAAGTAAAAATATCATTATACGCAAAATAATGAATAGGTACAGGATAAAATTAAATCTTTTAGCTCAATAAGATTTTAACATATAGAAAAAAACTACTTATGTGCTTAATACCACACGATACCACACGATAGAAGTGAAAACATGAACAAAACGAGAGTAATAATATGAAATAAAAATTATAAATAATAGCCCATTAATACTGAACAATTCCCTCGCTTTCAGTTTGCAGGTCCGATTTTTAGATTCTGAGGCATTTTAATTCATATCTTCAATAAAACTCGCTATAATTTGGTTTTTGAGATTATTTTTCCCTTTCCTCAGTAACACGGCGTCGCGTAAAGATACACTATTGAATAGCAGCTCATTACAAAGTGAATTAAATTATGAACATTTTCCTCGCTAACAATATGCATGTCCGATTTTCAAATATTTTAGAGCCAACTTTACCCGTGCGTTACACGTCGGAGATCTGACCGCTCAATCTAATTTACTCTCTACATAAAAAGTGCCAAACGCGCCTAACTATTAATAAAATTGAAACACTAAACTAACAAACATCATGTAACAAATCAAATAAAAAAATATATATAACTATTTTACAAAAAAATTGAGTTTTAGTATCTTCAAAACATATGATAACCAACCAATTTTATTAAAGGATATGTAATATATTTAAATTTATAAGATATTATATTTGTTTTGCTGCTACCAAGATTTAAATACAACAAATTGGTACAATGAGGATTTAGCTAAAATATTTAATAAATAATATAATGTAATAATTGCAAAGATACTATAATAATGTACTGTAGTTTAAAAATCATAAAATTTAGTTTTAGTAATATTTTGCTTAAACATAAGATAGTTTTGTGTTTTGGTTTTTTGAGTTATTTGGTAGTCAAAGGTATTTCTTCAATATCTTCAAACTACTCAAAGTAATCTCGAGTATAGATTCATTCATAGCATCCGCATTTTGAAAATTGTTTTTTATGCACTTATTGAGAAGCATTATAATTGGTTTTTACTTTTAATCATGTGTAAACACATCTGTTTATTTGTCATAATGCACCAATTAAGTAGAGTTTTAATGAACTTATCAAAACATGTTAATTATATGTCTGTATATGGTAAATTATCACTTAATTTCTAATTTTTAATATATGATGGCATAGCTCATAGGTGGAGAACTGTGACCACCGCTAATTTTTGTGCTATCTTCATTAATATAGCGATAGTATAATTAATATTTAAAATTAATTACGAAAATATTTAATTAATAAAAATAATGATAAATAAAAATAGCAGCAGTAAAATATAAAAAATTATAACAGCCTCCATTAGCACTGCCTAATGATAAAAAAGTTTTCCACCTAAATACCATAGATGGAGAGTAAATCCCATAGATGGAGAACTGCGGCCTTGGAGGCCGCATGTGGCCTCAGTGACATAGTTGCTGCATCCAAACCTTTATATTCGATATTTATTAATCTAGCTCTAGAATTATTTAACATTTTATTATTTAATAAGCGAAAATTTAGAAATTGATAGAATAAAGTTGAATATGCGGTATGTGATAAATAAAAAGAGCAGCAGTAAAATATATAGAACTGTTGCGGCCTCCGTTTGCACTGCCCAAACTTACTGCGGCTCCAAATGATAAAAAGATTCCCCACCTTTGGCATAGTTTATATAATAGGTACAACAAACAAATAATTACCTAATATAAAAATCTGATAAAAATTTAAACATAAAGGCTATTAGTATCAATCGATTTCAAAATTAAGAATTATACAGATACTTAAGTTGTCAAGAATAAATTCCTCATCGAAATCTCAGTACTGAAATTAATTTTCAAATTGAAAAGTGAAACATGATAAATAAAATAAGATAAAATTATAGTTGATTTTGTAAAATTATCGTGAGAAAGATAAAAGTATCACTCATTATTATTCATAATAAGAAGAATATTGTTGGATGAAGAAAATGAAAATGACAATACAGACCGGACAGAAATTGATATGATGCC